AAGATTTTATTCTCATTCATTAGATTACATCATGACGTCGTTATATTTCGTGTGCTTTAAATTATGCTTAAAATTTTCTAAATTGAAATTTCTTAATTTTGAGAGATAAATCATGATACCGCACATATTTGCATTAACTCTATAATTAAGAAAGAGGTTGGATAGTCTCCTTTTCCCCCGTGTTTAAGTAATGCCGATGAGTTTCTACAATATTCATATCTGTAACCAAATCACTGTACATCAAAGAATGGAGTTTCTTATTCTGAATCTGAGACAGGACATAATAGGCACACATTTTATATGTTGGCAACAGCCTTATTTCCAACAGCAAGGAACATCTTTAGACCTAAAACATTTTGTTTATTAAATATCTGCAGTGCTAGCCCAAATCGTCTGTTTCTCATTCCAAGAAAGCTGTTGGAAATAATACGCTCTTCAAATTAAAAGGATTTTATATGTAATTAATTATGCCCTTAAGCCCTCACAAAAGTTTAATTATAAGAATATCTGTTCATACCGTATAAAAACATTCGTTTATAGTTTATTGACTCGCCATTTACGCTTTGAATGCTTCAACGATGTTAAACTCAGTCACATGCTATTAGGATTCTACAGAATCGAATTAAAAGCAGAACTATATTTTAGGTTAGTATATTAAGACAAGTCAAGGAATTTGTTTGTAATATATTTTATAAATATCTCTCCTGGCGTTTACCAGTTCGAAATGAAGAAGATTACAAAACTAACATTTATAATATCATCTCTCAAAGTCGATATTATAGAATAACTTAGAATATAAAGGTAATTTGGGCAGAACTTACCAAATATATTACATGTCTTTGTGTGATATTCTTAGTATTAATGACTATTCTTTGTTTTGAAAGTCAGTTACAACAATAAGTTAACTTATAAGTCAGAACCGCGGAGAGAAATCACTTTTTCAGCACAGAGGTATTCAGAATATAACTGTAATAGTTCTGGAAGCAACAGCTAAATTTCCTTGAGCCCTGGGAATATGCAGTGTCATAAAACAGATTAGTTCTGTAAATACTGTATAAAATTTTAGCAGTAGAAATTTGTCATGAATTATAAAAATACTGCATAAAAGGAGCAGGCGTGTAACACTATTGAGCACCTGCAAGGAATGTAAATCCTTTTGCAAATCCGTAAAGCACATTACATAAATCATAAATTAATATACGTGTGTATTAAGCACAAATACAATTTTGCTGTAGTATAAACCATAGGCTACTGACTTTTAAATCCAGATTATATAATAGAGAAAAAATGTTTTTCACCAGTTTTAAAGTAAAATTCATCTGGTTTTCACTTTAATCCTATAGGTTGTCATTAAGTTTCTTTCCAGTAGCACCAAAAATAATTCTGTTCTACAATACTGAATCCTTGTTAAATCATTTTACACTAACGGAGGTGTTTTTTTGGAAATCAACAGTACCACATTTATATTTTTAACTGCAATGATGGATGGTAATATAGGAAAACGGGTAAATGACCTGATTTAAACATTGCACTGACTACTTGTCACCCCAGACCACGCTAAAACCTTTTTTAAGGTAAGAGAAGACGATGTATACAAACGAGTTATTCTGTGGGTGTGGTAAATTAGCTTCTATTTTGACACGCAAGAACCCTTTCAAATACACTCTGCATCCCCTGCCTTTGTGGGAGATTAAAAGAAAGGGTTTGTTGGTAGAAGGTTAAAGAATTGAGAGGGAAGGTAGTTTGTAGCCAGGGCTCATTTTCAGTACATTTGACATCACTATATGCTATACCACTTCTCTGTAGCTTAACTTTGTAGGGATAACAACATGCAAATATGTGGAAAATACTTCTCATGTTGCATAACATTGCTTCCATGAGGACATTTAATGCCTACACCACCACACGAGAAAGCAAGGATTAAGTCACATTGGGTTCGAGGTAATCTCAAACCCGTAAAAATTTTCTTCTCTCTGGTCGGCCATTTGATATTCAACGCCCTATCTCCTTCAGCCTATATTTAAGCTGGTAAAGAAGGGATTAAGTTTCCTTTTCTGAAAACAATTTTTTCCTTCTTAACACTTTTACAATACAGTGTACATAAATTTCTGAACTACTTCGCTGTTTATTAAGAACCTTGTTTCAATATATTTGAGTTCTCGTATAGAAACATTAAAGAGTTATGTATGTGGTTTGAGGTTCTCATGGCGATGAAAATCTGTCAGTGATCGTCTTCTTTTTATTCAGACCCATCAAAAACATAACCGAAAATACTGCTATCGACGTTTGAGATTCCTGTATAAGAATTTTAATGCGTAATAATATACTTTCGAAATCACCACCGTAATGTAAAAATAGCCATTCTACAATTATTTATATGTTACGTTAACAGCAGATATCTCATAAATTCAACATCAAATTCAAGAACGTTGTTTTTAACTGCAAATGTGAAATACTTTGAATATATCGTAATTAAGTCGATTATAAATTATCTAATCTCTGATTGTATCTAAAAATTCACGACACAATGGCCAGAATTCCCGCCATATTTGACTGCTACACTATAGGCCTACCTTGTGAACACTAGTTCAGAATTTCTACAATTTCAACGGTCGTAAACAGTAGGCTGCAAATTTTTTAAATGGATTTGTCCGTTGAACGCTAAATAAAACATGTAATAGTAATGGAGATACCTTTCTCAGAGTAGTCGCACATAATAATTTATCATAAATGTAATGCAGATACTAGGGAATTTGTGCAACAAGTATCAAAAGAGACGAAAGCTTTTATCTTCGAAGTATACTGATGTTTCAAACGTGTTCTTGACTCCAAATCACGTGCACCGACGTCAGAAGGTTGCTTAGATGATTACCGATTCTCAAAGAACAGCGACGTAAGGCTTACGACCCAACAAATTTCAGATTCGTTTTCCATCATTGTATTCAAACATTTTTAGCTGTTCCTTTGTTTGTTTTCAGACGTTCTTTATGCTCTAGCATGAGCGAATAACATCATTGGTCTGTCTGTCTATAGAAAAGGTAACCCGCGTGGCTCAAAATAATTTTTGGAACAAACAAATAAGACAGTCGCTGAATCAATTTTTTATAGAAATTAAAACTGAGATTATTTTGGAACACGCAACAGTGGCATTGTTGGCTCAGAACAGTAATGCAACGTGTCAGACAGAAAGACTGATTTAATTCTTGTAATCAGAAGAGGGCAAGATGTTGGTGATGGTGAAGAAGTGAGTCACACACATCGGTCTGATGATGGAGGATGCAAGGACCATGGTATATTTCTACCACACCACATCATGGCGCTACAACTTAGAAGACAGACGTGTTTGTACTCTTCGAAGTGAGAAACTCAACTTCTACTTAGAATAAAAATATTTATTTGTTTGCGAATTAGCGACTGCTCACTAACATCAGATGTATGAGATACGAGGAAGCATACAATATTTAATTTGAACTGTGACACAACACTTTCTTGTTTGATGAGACAATTTTATTTTGTTGACAGAAATAGAGGCCATCCTCGTGATGGGAATCACCTGTTGTTTCTAGATAGTGCTGTAGGATTCCTTCGCTTACACGTTAAATTCTGTTTCAATGCGTATATAGAACAGATTTTTATACTTACGTAACAAAATACAACGTTTATATTTGATAGCAACTTAGATTCTTAATTGTTTCTGTTAATATATTTTCTCTGATAAATTTACAACAGGAAAAGCATTTCGAGAACATCTGGATCGAATTTCGATACTGGTATTTGAATACTGTTATATGACCTATAATTTGGCCGTTGGATGTCGTAGTTAAGAGGAAGAGTTAAAGTGTTACAATAGGTGCTGACTTGTTCATATTTATAACTAAATGCTTACTTAGGATACTTAGGCGAACCGTTCTTCAGTGCCTTGAGCATCTGCGGGTCCCAAATTTCGTTGGCTTGATCTAAGACATTCGGTAGGACTCCTTGGACGAGTGATCAGCCCGTCGCAAGGCCTCTACCTGTACACAGGACAGAGAAACGCGGACAAACATCCATGGCTTGAGTGGGATTCGAACCCACGGTCCCAGTGGCCAAGCGGCACAAGGCCCACGTCTCAGACCACGCAGCCACTATGACTAAATATAAGTTCTAAAGGATTGGGTGTCACATCTTTTCCATTATTTACAATTATTCCGTCACATAGTGTCTGCTTCGCGGATTATGCCGAGGCTCGACACAACGGTTCTTATCCAGCACTTCTGTAGTGAGACTTCGGATCAAACAGGCACAGAATTATCTTAAATTTGAGGTACTTAATTAGGTAAAGATTTATTTCCGTCGGGATTTTAAGCTATCTCATCGTTACTTGTGTACCGCCTAATTTCCCTCCTGTTTATACCTCTCACTGTTAATTCGTTCCTCAGCTATTTGGTCTTCTCAGTGTCGTCTTACTGTCTATATATGGGAAATGCAGTTTTACGGAACCAATGCCATTTTCTGTATCTTAATTTTATTTCTATTTCTACTGGTCGTTCTCGGCAAATGTAAAAGTTTAACATACCGATCCCGACGTGGTTAACGCTGTTTAAGGAAATAATCGCTGTTTATAATGAGACACGCAATGCGTAATATTAAAACCTTGATTGCCGTGTTGTGTATTGGAATATAAAATATGCATACAAACAAAAAGTGTTCCACTATGAAGGACACTAATGCCAAACGCGTTTCGACCTCAAGAGGTCATCATCAGTGGCAAAAAGACAAGTTAATTCATATAATATAAATCAAGAGATTGTTTTTTAACAGATAAAAATGTTAAGTTCTTTACAAAACCATATTTAGTAACACTTCAGTGGTTGTTGGTTGCACAGGAGTTATATTGGGTACTTAGCTATTAGTGTCCTTTATAGTGTGAAGAGTTTTGTTTGTATGCATATTTTATATTCCAATACACTACACGGTATGCAAGGTTTTAAGAGTACGCGGTTGCCTTGTTCTGATTGCAGTTCCACCGGACATCTTGGACTACCCGACCAGCACGGACATGGTCGTGCGGGAGGGGACAAACGTGACGCTCCGATGCGCCGCGACGGGCTCACCCCAGCCCAGCATCACCTGGCGTCGCGAAGGGGGCGAAACCATCCCTCTGGGCAACGGGCAGGAGAGTAGGTAACTTTTATATAAAATATTTGTTACGTTCCTTTAAGTGGTGTTGCTGTATTCATAAGAAAAATTACAGACACAAATGTGGTGGGGAGCAGGTACTTGCGCTCAAAATAAAATTACCAGATTTTTTACTTTCTTACGCATTTTAGTATTTCTGATGTTGGTATATTTTACTTGTCCTTAGACAGCATGCAAGAATGTAATTCTGCATAGAATTGAAATGTTGGTTTTGTTTTATTCAATTTAATTCCACTGTTCTCATTTCTTTCAATATTATCGCTTCAGATTACCTTCCATGACTTTCAGTTTCTTCCTTGTTATCTTTTCCTCCTTCTGTTTTTCTAATCTTGCCTTGCTTAAACCAGTGATTAATGTATTCTATTTAAAATTTCTTCGGAAATCTGTAAGTGAGTTCTATGTGTTTTCCCGCTAAAATTTCTTTGGAAATCTCTAAGTGAGTTCTGTGTGTTTTCCCGCCGATTAACTAGAATTCTAGTTCACTTTTCAACATAGAATATGCCACATATGCATTTTGACATGCAGTTACTGGACGTTTTATATTTTCACGACCATGCTTAAGCATGAAGAGATCTTAACTTATAATTTCAAACAAATTCCCATTTCCGTATAAAAAACGTTGTATAGGTTCATCATTTAAGGTGACTGATTTGAAGAGAAATCCTAATTTATCCCTTACGATAATTGTTTTGTCATGTGTTAAGTAGTACTAATGGAATAGTAAACGTTTATAATTTTTTGCAGTATTACGTACAATTGGGAACTGTTTTCACCCCCATAGCTTAAATGTCTTCTAAACTTCATACAGGATAAGTAAGAGAGACGAAATGTGTTTTTTGAACTGAGAAATATAAGCATTGAGGTTAAAATAAATGTATCAAACGAAAGTAGTTTGAACCGTATCGGAATTTAATAAAGATAGCAAATCCTCTTAACCGCGAAGCAAAACAATCCAAATTCCCTCGTTTATCCACGCACATATGAGGAAATAATTTAAGTTGTTAAGTCTCCATGTTGCATATTACGCCTTGAAAAGATAGTAGTTGCTCATCTTTTCAAAAATTACTTTTCTTTTCTCAATCCGAAAGTTCATCATCTGTTGTCAGTCGTTCCTCGCAAACTCAACCTCTCCCACCGTAGTTCTTCCCATCTACACCATAGTATTAGTGGTCTCTTTCGTTCAGATTTTCCGATTTAAACTCTCTACATCCAAAAATATGCTGCCCTGTGATAAAAGTATTCGCTTGGCAGAGTTAATCATTGCGGTAGAAATGTATATGAAAATATAATTATTTATATGGATAATTAATATCAGTTGATCAAAGTTTCCACTTTACATGTTTATTAATCCTCCAAATAAGTCATTTCGATTAGTGTCTGATAATTAATTGAATTTATGCGGTAGTTATTCATAATAATCGTGCACTAATACCATTTACAGAAATTTCAAATTGTGTTTCTGTTCATTTCATGAGAAATGTGTTCCAATATACAAATTAACGGATTTGGGGGGGTTCAAATGAAGTAAGTCCTGTAAATGTACCGTACATAGCTAAATCATACATTATATTCACCATGGGATCCTGTTAAATGGAATCGTCTCTAAAACCACGTAGTTTACATTTTGTACCGGAACTGAATTCTGCATCAGTTCAAATCCCTGTCTAATTTTCTACTAGTTGGTCATATTGGCAGATATATTATATTGATTTCGTCAGTCATGCCAAATTATCGTAATGAATATATATAAATGTTACTTATATTTAATTTAACTTCGCAGCAGGCAGACTTCAGTTTCTCCGGGCCGTATGCTCTTCTAGGACTTGGTTAACAAAAAATATATCGTGTTTTGTATCTCGATATGTAATTAAATTTTTTCGAAAACTGTTGCTACCGGAATTTATTCTTGAACCGTTTAGGCTTCACTTCAAAATGTATTAAATTAGCAACTATCACCTAGGATCATCACAAATGCTCTTACATGGTTTTAACATTCTTTCGTAGTTTTCTTAGAGGACACCTTCAACTGAATGCACTTTCACTCAGTAGCTTCAATGCACGAATAACATAACATTAAGCTTTATTATTCTTGATATAACAATGTCAGTGCTGCTAATATTATTTATTGTGTTCATTTAGATATTGTGCTATCAGTTGTTAGTATGCAATTATTTACTCTGCACACCAAACACACAATATTAATTGTTCTTACATCGAAATAAACGTGAGTGATTAAAAAATAATTATTTTTAAGATGGCTGGACAGCACTTATGTAACTTTGATTCTTTTCACAAAAATACATTTATATTTCCCATTTGTGCCACGATTAAAGTTAACATAATATTTAAGTATGGTTTTAGTTGTGTGTATAACTCTTATCACTGTGAGACGATTAAATATTTGATATTGTATATTTGTCGATAAATTTAGCCGGTTATAAAAATAAATTACTTGTGGTAAGTGTTGATGTAAAATAAGTATAATTATAAGAAAATAAATGTTGCTTACGTTCTATCTTCTACAGAAACCTGTGATATGTTTCGTCATCAGAAACATTATTTCTTTGTTCACGAATGTAACATCATATAGAAACACTCTTTAAAATACGGACCGTATTTATACGTAAGATAACACTTTTTGTGAGCTTTCCGCTGGCACGCTTTGCAGATTCGAGGCGGTCACCCCTCTGGAGCATCCAGCTCTTAAATGGGTCACGGAATAATAGTACTTACGTGCTGCATCGCAGATATTATAATGTTCAGTACGAGATAATGGGAGATTGGCCTCTATAGGAACTGATTCAGTTCTCTGCATCACACAGGGTGATGCCAGAAATAGGCCAGTGTATACTTGGATACAATTTGTCTTACCTCAGGGAGTTAACGGTGCTTATGCATATATTAGTGGAACAATGGACACCAATTCTTTCCACCAGCTAATACCAACTAGGTTACATATTTCGCTGACTGAATTGTTGCTCCTGTGATTATGGATTTGGCCCCTAGCATAGAAGTCCTCTGTTACGTATTTTATGAGAAACTGATTTGGATCCTCTAACTGTGAGGAATTTAGCTTCTCTGATGCAATATACGGGCTACAAATCTTATAAAAGGGCAGTCAGTTGCGAAAATAAGAGAATAGCATTAAAGAGGATATTAATTGTCATTTGTTACTCTGCCGGTCTCAGTTTTAACACTTGAAATATTATCGGCAAACTATCTTGGTGTGGTCTCTTTATTTGTCTGCAATTTGAACATGTGTAAAATATTGAAGAGACAAATTTAGATTGTTTGTACTCTGTCTACTGATTTAATTAGACTTTTCGAAGAAAGTTTTGCGTTTTGTCGTCGTTATTTATGAAATGTTTCGATTTCAATCTACTCTTTCCAAAATGTAATATTGAGTAAACTTTAAAACTTCAGAATATTTTTACATTGTTGCTTTCATTGATATTACTTTGATATCTACGAGTATTTGCGAATTCTTTATTAAAATTACTTTCACTAACATTTACGTTGTCTTGCTATTCTTACACCTTTTATGTTAGGTGTTATTTTCGTATTTCGATTTGAAAATGACGATTGTGAGACGTTTTTTCTTTGCTGATCATCTCAATGGAATTGTCTGAGTAAAATCTCAACTGCATCATACTATCTCACTGTCCAGGAAGATTTTGTTTATCAGTTTCTCGGTCCATCTTATTCAAGATCACTAACTACAAAGGCTTGTTAACATTTCTTTAGTTCGTATGCCACGTGTAACCAGCTCTCTCGACTGTTTCCGTAATTAAAAGAATATGTGACAATATTTAGAAATTTTTTTTGTTAGAAATCCCAGGCACTTTACTTTAGTTACGTAGTCTTCGCGCAACATGCAAAAATTTACCTCCATAATTTCTGTCCTTTTCGTTTTTATTTTAGAGCACCTGTAATGGTTTTTGGAGAAAATTGTCATTTCGTCTGCAAAAAGTCAGAAATATAAAATTTGTATGTATGTACCTACATGTATACCGCATATATATAAGGGACAGAACTGTAAAATGGAAGATTCCCTATCAAATTTTGTGACGTTACCTTTGTCCCACTCTGTTCTTTCTTAACTTTTCTTTGTATCACCCTGTTCTAACCTTACATTTTCCCCCGCCAGACTGTGTCCTGGTATTCTTCTGTTTTGTTATGCTTTAGCAGTGTGAGTCAGTCTGTGCCCTGTAGTCGACCGTGTAACGTCTTTGCTATTTCTTCGGACTAAATTGGGTGGATGTTTTCCTGGCTTAGAAAGAGGACAGACAGAGGTTCCTGGGCTGTTCGCTGATCCATAATTCTTTTCTGTGTATGACTAGTCTGTATCTTGATATATAGGTAAATACCTGTTTAAATTGTAATATGTTAATAAATAATAGTCTTATAAAGGCTGTGGGCCTGTATGTGTTTCAGTTTTAACAGACTGATTTTGTGGATGCAACTTATACACAGAAACAACAAAATCTTAATATTAGATTCTTTTAAATTCTATTCAATCTCGATTTCCTGTCTAAGACACAGTTCTCTTACTTCAGATGCTTGTTCTGAAACTATCCTGCTTGCAATTTGAGGGGAATTTATTTTAATTCTGAAACAGACTGCACTGTTGCTTGAAACCTTATCGTTTTATATATGTAGGTACTATAGGAAATAAAAAAATAGCTTGGAACCAGACCTGAATTATTCCTATGCAATATTCAGTACATTGAGCTGTGGAGAGAGGTAGGGGAGACAACTAAGTATTTCAAAGTTGGTTCTTTGCCAGAGCGTTTTTGTTGCATTTGAAACGAGCTGATGTTATGTGGTTTTATGGAAATCTTAAACATAGATAACCAAACTCCACTTTGCAGGATTATTACACCTAAATGTGGATATTTGAAGACGAGGTTTTGTGTTGTTAAATTTCTACTTATACGACTGTAATTATCCTAACTTGCCCATGTTAGCATCGTTGTGGTGAGAAATGGTAGCTGCAGTACTCGGTTGCCTTCTGTATAGTTCAGTCCTTGTCCTTGTATCCAGAACAGAGCGTAGCTCATGCTCGGGTATTTTCTACATAACTGTTAGCAGTGTTTGGTTCAGTATGTCTAAATATGTAACGTTACTATGCTCGTCATTGTTTAAGTTGACTCTAAATTTTTAAAGAGTTTATTGCGTTAATAGTTCTATATCAAGAGATAGAATTTTAAAACAATTTTGTCGTCGTGATTTAGACTACACTTATCTAAGTTACGAACAAGCGACTCAGCGTTTACATTAAAATGTGGTTATTTGTCTTTACAAGGTCGTGTGACAAGCGACTCAGCGTTTACATTAAAATATGGTTATTCGTCTTTACAAAGTCGTGTATAGTTAAACAGAAAGTATGTACGCGTATATAATTAAAGTGCGATTGTTAAAAAAAATTATATTTTAGACAAACTAATACTAAAACATACGAAGAGGGGATAGGCGAAAATGTAATTGTGTTTTGAGTTTCCTTTAATTAGAACGCAGAATAAAATTTGTTTAAGATTTCAATTCTTAGGTTATTATTTCATTTCCTAACGAGGAATGCACATATTAATATAGACCGAGTTGAATTTACAGACTTCTGAGGAAATATTTGACACGCTCTTTCAAGGAATTTTAACAATATTTGAAATGAATGAACACGGAAACATCACGATAAGTTTAAAATTATAGCAAGCCGATGTAATACATCATTTTTAACTATAGACCTTTCGAATACGAATTATGATAAACAGTTCTACATCAGCACATGTGGAGTCAAGTTTATATCCAAGGATATAAAATAACTGTACAATCTATCCTCAATAGCGTGTATGCAACTTTAATGAAGAGACCGAAAACAAAATTAAGGGTTCTATAATATCAATGACGTCACGAATAATACCAGGCACCCCACGCACCCGCAGGAACGCTGTAATAGGAATTTGAATAAGTTTCGTTGTTTTTGACTGAGTAGTTAATACTGCAGTAAATATTCTAAAATGTACGCCTATTTATCTCGATTCACGGAGTCTGTTAGCGGGAAGTTTGTATGGCTCCTATTGGCGTATTCAAGAAGATGCCGTGTTTATTGTCTTCAGATACACACACTAACTTTTTTTCGAAACTTGACTCACTGTTCACATTTTTGAAATGTGACTTTCTTTATAGTCCCTACCTAGACAAGCGGTAAGTTCAACACGAAAAAACGTTGTTAGATATCATCCTCAGCAATTCCACTCTGTTTTATATTTTTACAATCCATTTCCGTTATATATACTACATTTTAATATGATCCTGTTCTTTATTCGGCGTTGAAGTGCCCGAAAACCAAAAAGTACCCATTCGTTTCCCTCATCCGAAATTACTCCATGTATTACGCTCATTGTTTGAATTTTTTAAGATGATATAATTTGGAGTGTATATAAATTAGTGCCTTCTTTTGTAACGTCCTTCATTCCGCTCGGCTTCATCTCATCTGAAATATATATTTCTTTACTGCATATAATTACCAATTGCGTAATGAAGCACGAATAATAGAATACCCATGGATGTGTTTCTTTTCCATCAAAATTCATTATGTGTTCATTGCACTACCAATCATCCGGAGGGAACTCACGTGTCTTCCTTCACGTTCTAGTAAGGAGTAAATTCCTCCACAATGTTTCTATTTTATGACGCGGTAGTCTACTGCTCTCAGAGGTTGCTGTGATACCAACGCAAATCCCATATCAAATTCATAACAAGTGTAATCACATTAAACTTTAATTGGATTCTTGTGTCACTAACATAGTTCGTAAAGGCATATGTTTTATTTCTCTAAAATGTTGATCAGTTATACAGAATTAAATAAATAAAGGCTACAAGTTAGTGTTTTGGTCTGTATATAAACCTTTTAAAAATAAATATCAGTTGCGCACTGTCTCATAATAGGCTGTTGTTTTTATGGTCCCTGCATCCTAAACAAGAGTTATGTCTCTATGATAGCGACGAGTGTGGAGGGCCCAGTGTTCAACATCACTAGAGTGAATCGACTGCACATGGGGCCGTATCTCTGCATTGCCTCCAACGGAGTTCCTCCGACAGTCAGCAAGAGGATTATGCTTATCGTGCACTGTACGTATTACATCAGAGGATGCACTACATTGCTCAGATTAATCATTTAATGTATGGATTCCTGCAACTAAATAAACATTCACCTAGCAAGTAAAAGCTATTTTAAATTCATAATGATTTCTGTAACATATATGTGTGTGGATTTAGGCGTATGGATGCGAAATAGTATCAAGCATTACCGTTTTGTAACAGGGACTTTATGGGAAATATGTTCCATACATATCTATTTCAAACATAGACTATATGAGCCATCATTTAATCCTGTAATATAAAATTTTTCAGCAAGCGTATTTATGTTAACGGAGAGCAATATGAATATTATGGTAATAAACAATGCTACAATTTTCTTAATATTATCCATCATTACCGCTGTATATGCCTGTATGTATAAAATAAGTGACGTTTATCAGGTGGTTTTTGTATTTACTTGATAATTGTTAAAATTGATTTACTAGAGGAACATTTAATTATAATTATAAACGTGTGAGGGGAAGTATTCCATGTAAGCAGTAGCAGATGAGATGTAAAATTCAAAATTGTGCTTTATTTAAGTCACTTCGTAAAATGGGACTTTTATCATCATGCTCACAAGAGTCCTCAACGTTATCCTCTCCTCAGTGACGACTCTAGTCCAGTACGAAGCTTTTCTTCTTGAGGTTTTTGCATCCAGTGTAACATCGCTTTCCACAGATCTTTGCCTCTATGTGTTCAGAGTTGACTCATACCTTCATGTTTTCCGATTAAAATCTCTTATGCTATTTTCATTCCTCCCACGCGTGCTATATGCTCCGCCAACCTCACCCTCTTTGGTCGGAAAACTAAAAATATGTGACGAAGAGTATAAATAATGAAACTTTTCATTTCGTAAGTTTTATTGTCCGACTATAAACGTTTATCTTAAATCATCATATTCACCTCAGTAAGTTTTTATCGAATTATTTAACAGACTATTATCAGTGATATTATTTATCATTTCAAGATATCAAGTTTCTATTAAAGAAACCTTTACTAATTCTCGGTTCTTCCAAATAATCGTGCAACTCTTATGAAGGTATCAGTAAAACTATGCAGTGACAGAATTACAAAACTGTCATCGAATTTTTGTACTTTTATTATATTTTACCTACAGCGTAACTAAAATAACTTCGTTCACATTTAATAATTTTCTCGATATTTTAAATAAATATTAAAAATAAATTATGCTTTACAGTTCCTCCAATGATATGGATTCAGAACCAATTAGTCGGAGCATATGAAGGCCAGCAGATGACCTTGGAGTGTAATTCAGAAGCGTATCCTAAGTCCATTAATTACTGGGCAAGAGATAAAGGAGAAATCATTGCTCAAGGTGAGTTCTAATCAGATTTATTCCTAATGTAAGTGAATTGTGTTGAAGTGTTGGTAGATATATTTTTATGATCGGGGTATAGGATTTCACCCTAGACGATTTGTGGTGAAATATACGGGTTAATTATGTTCGCGTTCGGATTTCTTAACAACCTCCTTTCCGTATTTATTATAACCAAATTGACTTTGAAATCTTTAGTTGTGTCTTATTTTATCCGTATTAAGTTATCGAATTAAAATATTTTTACAAAAAATATTTTGTTAATTTATTATGCACATCGAAAGTCTCTGACAACGAGCCTATTATATTTATAGTCTTAGGGCAAATATGATTCCCAATACAAAACTGTGAAGTTTCTCAAAAGGAACTATTGGCGCATTCACCGTGACATCTTTAAAGAAAGGAAGATTCTCCAAATCGCTCGACTCGCTGTTTTTTTCTCTCCATATTTCATACATTTAGTAAAATGCTTAATCGAACTGTAAACGCGTGGAATTATGTTTTGACAAATATAGATGTCACGCCTATCTGTTACCGTGAATTGTGTATTTTCATGAGATTTTTACCGCGACTGCTCACTGACATTACTCTGCTAACAAATGCCCTCATATTAAAACTACTGTCATTTTTACTTGCTATATTTTCAATGTGGATTATAATGGGTCAGTATTTTCCTCCTGAAAGGCTCGCTCGTAATAAATCAACTGTTACATCCGTAGTTGTATTTCTAAACAAATGTTAGTTCCCGCCGCTTCGAGGCAAAAGTTAAAATTTCTTCAGTGCGTAATTCTGAATGTTGGAGCTGATACGTTCCTTTGTCTTCACCGCAATTTTATTGCATAAACTCTCTTAATATACGTCGTTACGTCACAGATCCGTGACGTATTAATCCTTTTTACAATTCGATTTGTGACATCTACGTTCTAGTGTATTAAATAAATATATTGTATGTTAGAAGCTATTCGTACCAAGCACCAAATCACAGGAAATGCAGTGTCTTTAATTTTAACCGTGTTACACCATTAAAAATCCTGCTCTATTATTCTTAATTGTTTCTTAGAGGTGCCATTTTTTTATTTTTTTATTTATTACAATATTACAGTTAATTGTAGCTACCGAACAGCGTTGGTCATTGTTAAAACCTGAATTGACTTCACTTTGTAGTATGTATAGAATTATATCTGTCGAATTCAGTTAAACATCTGTTAAGTATTAACGAACGAGCAGTAGTAATATTGAATCAAAATTAATTTACTTCGTAAATAACAAATAGATTTGTAGACAAGTAAACTTCAAAACCAGTCAAATGTGCAAAAAGTCCTATTAGAAAACAATTCTTCTTAAATACGCAGTGAGGGCTTTCCCGCCATTACGTTGTAAGTCCTTCACTGACTTCGTTCCATTAGTCAGGTTGACAGGCAAATAACAGGCAACAGGATAATGGAGAGTCACGTTGTAGCACTTCACCTTCTAGACAGGTGGCGCTACATTGCGTGTAGCAGGCACGGCCGATAAATATTTCTGACATTTCAGTTCTCTGCCCTTCCGAAGGCTAAGTGATTGATTCGATTTATGAAGCAACTTGCATTACACTAACTTCTTTCTATCCTTGTCACTCTTGAGACCGTTTAGAGTGAAGATTTTAATTTGCCGACAAGCTGACCCACAGCTTAACGTCTTTATTATACGGTACTCTCACGTCATGCGTTTTGGTGCACCACAGTGAATATGAAACATCTGATATTGATGTCACACTTCATAAAATTTGATAATTATTTGATAAAAATTATAAAATTAATTATAATGTGAAGTCAATGCTTGGCCTTATAATCCGCGTGTTTCTTCTCCGTAGCAAAATATCATAACCGTGCAGTGGTGTATAATAACAATTCCAAATCCAACCATTTTTATGCAAAGTTCTAGTTATATATATTAACCTCACCAAAAGTATTTCAGCCCGAAACGGATTATCGGTGGTAATTTCAAAATGTGTGGTTTAGATGTACAAAAATATATCGTTAAAATCTTTGAGGCAATCAAACCAAATTTTTAAAATTGCTGAAAAAGTATCAAAAACTTTGAAAGGTTTTTCTAAAAAACTCTTTGAAACTAGTAATATACAATTGGAATATGGTACGTTTTGTTTCACACCGAAAGATTTAGAGAGATATTAATTTTTATTCTAACCTGCTATGTATATTCTTCTTATGAAGCTCAAGTTAAATCTTCCAAAATTTCTGTGAAAAATGATTTTTGTCGTACAAGGAACAGTATGTGACAAATATAGATATCATTCGGATATACGAAATTCATTTTAAACATCAACACGGTAATTATATAAATATATTAAAATAAATATAATAATTTCTAGTTCTGTAGTTTGTGATACCTAGAGTGCAATTAGCTTTTCAGAAATTTATTGATTTCAGTTTGATATAAAAATGAACAACGGCCCGTGAGGTATGTCGGTTAACAAAAGATTTTAAAATACGAATGGGACTGTGTGCACTGCATTGGATATCTACGCTTTTCTATAATTAAAATGATTCATTGTCTGGACTTTTTCCATCGCCCTTGTTTAAAAGAAGAAACCACGACGTTTCGGAAAATAACTCTGTTTCCGTCTTCAGGCGAGAGGTACCTACTCATTTGGGCCCGTTAGATAGAGCTAGTCTCCGTCACTGGACAATAAATAATTTTAAGTGTAATCCACCGTCGTCAGAACCCTTTAGAATTGAATTTTGTATTCTTGTTAACAAGAATCGTTAAAATGGATGAATCCCGTTTGACATATTGCAAAGTATTATAGTCAGGAGTGATAAGTCTAAATTTTCACGCAGTACGAAATTTCGACTGTTCCTTTACTGTTCCTGTGACACTAATTTTAACTGCGTAGGTTTCTCCAGCAGAGTAATTTAAGTGAATTCTTACTCGAAGACAGCAATCTTCAGACTCACCGTCGTGAAAACCTCAAATCCCACGAATTCTTACTCGATTCGATTCTTCGTTGCGAAATGTTCCTCTTCACCACTATATCCAGAGTGGTTGTCGCGTCCACTGACACCCTGTCCGAAAGTAAAGATCCTGTTAGTCATAGACAAAGTATTTGGAGCGTGAACATGGCTACTCATCTCAGTCTTGAAAGCAGATAGAGACTGTAGTATTCCATATACCGACAAATCCTACATCCGATAGATGCTTACTCACAAGCTGTATATCTCTTGTGTCCATTATCAAACTCTTTGGGATCGTTTTACTAGTTCCTTAATTTCATTTTCCTTGTTTATGATGGCATTCATTCTTACTTCTTTAAATTCAATATTTCGTTTCTTCTGTCGTTTGTCATTACATTCATTCAAATGTACTTTATTTCTTTCAGTAATTCACTTGTTCATTTCTTCATTTGTATTTTTATTTATGTATTTATCATCACATTAAATATTGTTCGAGCCTCGAATCACCCCTGCCAACAGCTTGTAATATGTCGTCACCATTAGGAATATGTTTTGTACGTGTACATCTTCGAATAAGTTTTTTAAATATTGCCCTTTTATGCATATACAAAGAAAAGTGTTTAAGACAATATGGTGAATCTCGACATACAATCCGTGAAGACAAAGAAAAATATTCCATTCCGTTATATTTGACTTCGTATCCTGTTGTCTTACTTGGCATAAATGTTTGCCAGAACATGTCATTGCTTTATAACCTGATAGTTCGATATTTTATGTCTTCTTTAGTTGGAATGTGCACCCGCATAGTCTCATGTATGTTGATACGTATTAAGTTTATTTCTAATATCCTCAAAATAAAATGTATGAGAACGCATGTAATTGAAATGTGATACTTCTGCTGAAGGATAATTTTACTTTGCACACCTCTTTTAGCCCTAACAGGTTATTTTCAAAGAAGATCATTACGTTTGTAACAGCAACAAAACATATAATAGAGTAATTTCATTAAGTTACATAAATTACTGGCGCGGTAGGAGACGGAGAGGCGTTAGGTAGTGGCAGAATTGACATCGGGCACGTCTATCACAACGCCATGAATATTTTAGTTGACAGGGGACATGACCGCAAGTCGTCGCTGGACGTCGTGTAAAGACCAGTAAAGATGGTCTCAGACTCGCTTACTATTACATAGGTTCCATCATTCCTTTATATTTCTGTAGCATTCGTAATAAAAAATTCATAGTGAAAAATCTCGATGTGCAGTTCAGGCTGGTATTGAAAATTGCCTCTTCGTCACTATCTTCCCTTTTCACCAATTTCTCCAATCAGTTCTATTATGTATTCGTTTTACTTTGAACGCTCGATGTGTGTTACGAAATATCTCGTGATTTTTGGAACATTTTATCGTAAGATTTTTATGCAGGACAAGAAGTCTCGTAGTCACGAGGAGGTTACGCTATAAAATCACACATTTTGCTCAACAAGTTTCAGAATCTGCATCTGGCGTTGAAAGGGGAATAGAAATATGTCTATAACTATTGTGTACTTGTTTTATTTTAATTGCGTTAGGATAAGCAGTTCTGTTTAAAGAAGCATTTCATAGAATGAGTTTATATGGATTAAAATTAATATAATTACATTATGAAGAAATTTAGTTGCGTTCTATTCACATACAATTGTTAGGGTTTTAAACATAACATTCAATTTCGAAAAGTTAAGTATTAGTCTATGTTTATAATTCGGTAATGGGTCTTCACAATATTTTGAAAGGTAAAGTGTCTTTGTTTTGATCGATTTTAAGAGACCATAAATAAAATTGGTGCCCGCAGTGGTCGCGCGGTCTGAGGCGTGGGCCTTGTGCCGCTTGGTCGCTGGGACCGTATGTTCGAATCCCACTCACGATTCCTCGTCCAAGGAGTCCTACCGAATGTTCATAGATCAAGCCAACGAAAAGTTGGGACCCGCAGTGCTCAGGCACTTGAAGAACAGGTCGTTCCCAGAATCCAGTATCCCAGTATAAATAAAGTTAAATTATCAATATATAAGTATATATTGAAACTGTGAAGGTCTATGACTTGGGATTTCTCATACATTCTCAACGCACATTTATTTCAATTAATATCCATATCATTTGTATTAGTGTATAACAATGGCTGGTGTTTAGCACGTATTGTATATTCAACTATGGTTTTGAATCAGAACATAAACTCTAAATTGTTTTTGTCGAATGCAGAACAGATTTTGATGAGGGGACATATTTAATAAAGTCCAAAATTCTATAATGTTAAATGTAGAATCTCATATACGAAATCCAACTGACGCAACGGACAAGTTAATTTTTAAAGATTATCAAGATTATTTCGCAAGATATGTGATTTTTCAGCCTCTCTCTCATTGAAATACAGATTTATTCTTTCTGTTCCATATATAATGCTCCTTTGTGTGTGAAGCAATTTACAAAATAAAGGTATTTGTTTCATCTTCAAATTTTTTGCCGATGAATATTTCATACGCTTTGCACTGAAGCTGAATTCTTTCAGCTCCTCAGGTAGGAAGAAATTACATTCATCGTCTCAGAGTTTCATAATGGAAGTTGAATATATGCTTTGAACTAATATTGACCTCAAACAGAAGCAGACACAAAGACCTATCATGAATATGATAATTAACTATTGAAATAACATATGTTTGCTTTATTTTAAGCCCAGATTACATTGCCCCTAAATGTTTATATATGATTCTGATTAGAAACACAACGTACGTCGTTAATAGGACTTTTCGGGTTATATTTCAGTTTTAGAGAAAAATACCCTGTGTATTATTTAAGAAGTTACATGTTTTAAAATTAGTATTCATAAATAGTCTGTGTTTAGTTAATCTAGTGTGGAGAAAATCTATAATATAAATAAATCACTACTTAACTACAGATGGTAAAAATAACTGAATGTTGTTTAATTGTTCACGAGTGTCACTAGTATGAAACGATGCTTTTGACTAGTTAACAATCATGTTTCGTATTTCGGAATATTCCGGGTTTCATTATCGGTACTATGATTGTCAATTTTGACTTAATTTTCGTGATTCTTCTTATTTCCTCCAGATAGATGCCTAAATATTAGGACTGCTGATAAATATACCTCTTCCATCCGTATGCATTCGCAATTATCATTTAGATTAATTCTCCCATTCGATGCTGTGGAATTTAAGCAGTTGAGAAAAATATGTAAAGCAAACTAGTACGCAGAGGATCAAAATCTCTAGTCTTGTTTCTGTTTAATTTATGTGTTAAAGTGTTTTTAATTTAATTATGATGAACATGTAGATTTAACACGCACGATATGAATTAAAACTATGAGAGATGATTGCACAGTAGCTGATTATAGGCGCTGTTCCCACCAATCCTCATGTTATTCACCTATCTGTGAGAAATGGCACGTTGAAATATGAACATGGAGTTACGCATAAGACAAATATGGTCATGCTTTCAAGCTTAAACCATTCATAACCGTAACATTTTTGGTAATTGTAATATTGGTAACATATAGGGTAGATAATACATTGAACATTAACTAATTGATTATTAAATTATCTCTCTTGTTTGTCAGATATGAAATTGTGCATAAGTCTGTAGCGTTTAATCCATATAGAGATTAAGGATGTTTAGTTAGGTACGTATTATGTATCCAATTTTTTCAATGAAGTAATGAAAATTGCATCAAATGTTGAGAATTACTTTAAGAACTAAAGCTAAACTTTCTCCTGTAATTCGTGAAACTCTCTACCTCAGGTACAGCAGCTCCAAGTTTTCTTAATATCAGCATTGTATGAAAATGTGTGATCAGTTTTACTATCCGCCATCTTTACTTCTGGTATATATTTTTAAACCCGAGAGCTGGGGTTCACATATAATTATATTTTGTTACGATTAAATACTAGTATGTTAATAAGTCGTACTTGGATTTTATAAATCTGTACTATGCCATCATGTAATATATGTTGCATAATTGTATAATTTACTGTATTTTGTTATTTATTTTGGAATAAAATATTATAGTAGTAAGTAACTTTGTCCTAGCCTAGGTGTTTTTACTGCTCTCCTGTGGCAATATCATAATTTTAAACTCAGGCCAAGCTTCTTTCTCGTAAACAACATTTTATCACATTAAAAAGTTACTGTACTGTACTGAGAATATTTACGTCTCTCGTGAGTTGCATTGTAGACCCTAATTTTAAGAGCTGGATGATTCAAGAGATATTATATATCCCAATTGTGAGGATTTTTGTTGCTTAATCAGAAGTGTTGCTAATATTACAAAATAATTTCTTGATTTTATGTGCAACAAATTACAGAAAGGAACAGTGGAAACGTCATTTTAGGTTTTATTAATTAATCCTAAAAAAATAAATAGTGACATAAAGTCTATTCAAAAAGAGAATGCAGCCTGCTTCAAGTACCTAACTCATATTGACGCAACATTCCAACCTGGAAGACCCTACAACCGGAGGTGATGGGCTCATCCAGAATGTTGGCAACCACCCGCATGACGTCATAGCTGTATATACTACAATCGATATCTTCAGATTTCGAATATTAATGTTACTGAAGTTACACTAGTAAGTAAATTCAGTTTAAAAGTCGACATATTTCCTTACGAGAACGTACCTTGTTCTAAACGGAAGCTCTCAGAAGAATCGGTAAATCTGCTTTCACGCGGGATATACAAAAGTATGTTTCGACAACAGGAAATTACATATCGTTTTATTTTTCAGGTGGCAAATACGAGCCAGTGCTTCTGGACAATGCCTACAAAGTGCATATGAAATTGATGATTCGGGCCGTCGGGCCTACTGACTTCGGCTCGTACAAATGCGTCTCCAAGAACTCGCTGGGCGACACAGACGGCAGCATCAAGCTTTACCGTGAGTGTACACACTCAAGTGTGATGTATAAGTGTAATATAAATTTACCTGGCACAAACGCGTCACTGCAAGATTTATACCGCATTATTACTCTTATGTATACATTGGAAGATTCGATTTTGATAGTCGCAAAATTTTGAACTTACGGTATACGTGAATATCTGCACCAGACGTAAAAATGTATTTGTCAATGATTAGTTCTGAATTTGATGTATCAAGAGTGCGTGATCTTTGAAAACACAAATAGAAGTTGAAATTAACTTACATAAAATTTGACTTTACAAAAGCTGTCTTTTACTTCATCTCACACCAAAGCTTACTTTTGAAATGCAAATCACGTGTAAAAACGAAAAAAATATTTAAATTACGTAAGTTTTAAACAGGGCGCTTCGAAAATCTGTGGAAATTTGTTATTGTGAAGACGTACAAATACGTAGGCAAATTTACTTTTTTTCAGTGTACTTACGTATTGCAGTGCATGTAACAAACAATCGTAATTATGCCTGTAATATAAATGAAGTGTTACAATAATGATTTTTTATGTTTTAGTATTTATGTGTGTATTTACGTATTTTAACATTCAATTATCAAAATTGTTATAATACTTATTTAGTACGGACTAAACTATTTTAATAACATTTTCGCCTCTTAAAACGAGTGAACAAATTAAATCATGATATAAGGACATTTGATATTTTGTATACATAATGTTTGCAATTGAGACGTTTATTTCGTAGTTGTGGTTGCATGAAGAGATGAAAGAGCAGGCCACGCATGTGTTCTCACATTTTTCCAAATAAAAGTCTTCTATTTTTCCTGTAATTCCGTTTTTATTATTTATATTATAGGACACTGGACATAGAGCACGCGTAGGAATATGATAAACGCATTCAAAACCCGAAGAAAAAATATCATTTAGAGAGCTAATAGTTGATGGGAGAATGGTATTAAAAATCTTATAAAGTAGAAAGTGAGTGTATGGAACTGATTAATGTGGCTTAAAATAAAGCCAACTGTATGCACTTGAGAACGCGGTAATAAACGTTCGTGTTGTTTAAGATGCCGGGCATAACATGTCTACGTAAAAGACTATAATTTCTCGTGAAAAACCCTGCCCCGTATACTTTATTATATGCACCTGTGAATATTATTTTATCCAGCGTTACAAATTACTTAAACAGTCCATCAACCTATGTCAGTTATGGTTTGGTGAGGGATCCCACACAAATACAAGTCCTTTGATGGATTTTTGTGGTTTATACAGCAGAATTACGGAAGCTGATGGACAGTCTACATAGACCTAATTATTCTTACCAGCAATTTTATTAACCTAGATTCAAAATATTTTGAATTGTAACAAATCATTTCGACAGTAAGCAAGCCTGAATTAAATTAGCAATCTGTAAGTGGATCAGCAGATATTTGACATTCAGTTAATAATTTTAAATTCACCTTCTCTATATTTAAATCTCTGACGTATATTGACAGCTCCAGAATATCCATCGATTTGGTCAACTTCCGATATTAATTTGCGATTGTGAATCTCCAACGAGTAAACATCAAATTCTTCAATTATTTAATAACTTATATCGCGCTGGCAACAGATAAAATAATATATCAATATATTTTCAATAGCATGTATTGTGTACTTATCACATTGTTTATGGATGGGTTCATAAGTCATACCATATTAAAATTGCCCCTCAAAGAATAAATATATTACTTTCCATCTGGAATCATTTACTTCATTCTAGCTTTATCTACGGTTTAGTCCGAAGTGCAGAGCTTATCAGAGAGTAAGCATGAATTTCAGAGAGAAAAAAACGTTGTTAGACATATATCGACAAAAAATACTAACGGAGTTGTGGTTAATGATCAGTTATCTTCGTTAACAGCAATGATAAACAGTCACTAGATATTACGGAATTTATGTTTTATTATCACAAGAAAAATGTTAAGAACTTCGAGATGAGAAATTTTTCACTGTTAGATTGGAGAAGTTTTTACATGAGTTACGCCTAACTACGCACATCACAGTGTAGCTAGAGGCTAATATTGCGTTGGCGGGCTTGCATGCTGACAAAACCACGATTTTACCATTACCATGTTGGTTTATACGTTTCTTGGAATCGAATTGGAGAAAATTAGGAGGCTTAAATTACACTGAACTTAAAATTGCGAAAACTAATTCGAAAGTTAACGTTTAAGGCATTTTACTTATCATAAATATTTCTGAGTTATGCTTAACAAGGTTTTTCATATTTTATTCTGTCTTTTAAGATGAATGACAGACCAGAAATGCCTCCTTCTAAATTCTTACATGCCAGCCATTTTGTTCATATTTTCATCTCATTCGTTGCTGTATAGTCTCTGTAATTGGAGCAGTGTCGTTAAATAACTTTAGAGTAAAAACACCTCTCTGCGGTACAAATATTTATGGCGTGACGTCATATGATGGAGATGATAATGCCACTAACTCACTTGGTTTAAGTTAAATGCCCTCGTTTGCCTATAATATTGCACACGACATTAAAACACGTATTCACTGCCGCTTAATACTACGTCATTTTAATGTCCTAACAGATGACTGTCTAGATATAATTAGCTTGCCACCAGCGACAGAAATGAATCTGCAATCCAGCTTTGTCCTCTTCTGGTGTCTGTCGTAAAAATACACATATTCATTTATTATCTCAGATGGATTTCGATTGACAAAGAACAATTCTTTGAATCACGAACAGACACACTTTTATACACTACGTATATTAAAAAGATCACTTTAGGACCTGTTGGTCATTATTTCGAAAAAGAGTACATTCTCATATAAAATCTAAATAAATTCATATGTAGGATGATGGTGGACATTTGGAGTACTATACCGGAATCATTTAACTATGTTAACTGAGAGATACCATAACAGTTCTCAGTTAATAGAAAAGAGAATTTTCCACTGCAAAACAAACACACAAGTTTAAGATTTGAGGTTTTCACAGCGGTGAGTATGAAGATTTCTGTCTCCTGGGTTGTTGCGCTGTATAGTCTGGTCGATGTTTACCAACGTTTCAGAGGGCATACTGCCTCCGTCATCAGCGTATGAAGATTTCTGTCTCCTGGGTTGTTGCGCTGTATAGTCTGGTCGATGTTTACCAACGTTTCAGAGGGCATACTGCCTCCGTCATCAGCGTATGAAGATTTCTGTCTCCTGGGTTGTTGCGCTGTATAGTCTGGTCGATGTTTACCAACGTTTCAGAGGGCATACTGCCTCCGTCATCAGCGTATGAAGATTTCTGTCTCCTGGGTTGTTGCGCTGTATAGTCTGGTCGATGTTAACCGACGTTTCAAAGGTAATACTGCCACCGTTATCAGGGCGATTCAAACATTACTCCTTGATTTCTGTCTCATCAGATAACACAGCATAATTATAATTTCATAATCACATAAATATTTGCAACATTTTGAGATGCATTCTTTTGTTTGTATAGAAGCCTGATACATCGCTTTGTACTATATAACTTGGATGTAAACAATAAAAACAAAGCAAATTATGGATTTGAAAGTAAATATCTCCAACAACACGACGAGTTCTGTTAGTTTATTTATTATGTTGGCGGTGAGAACTTAGTTTCGGCAGCGATTTGTCTTAGTTTACTGAACGCTGCATGTTTGGTCGCGAATATTTTCAGCGTCCCTTGTGTCACTGTGTCCACGCACGGGACAAATCCATTTAGTACATGCTACGTTCAAACCTCCCTCTAATGGGACATATGCAATATTGCTGGCAGCAGGACAGAGACTGAGAGACAGGGTCACGTTCAAAGCGATACCCGTTGGGAGTCTGTTTCTGTTGTTCAGATGATGTGACAATTACTCTACCAACTACAATAGTTTACGCTGTCCATTATTGTGAAATGTCCACAAGCTTCGAGCTTTGAATTATCGCACAGCGCGTCGTATTGATCCGTTTCTGAACTCTCCATTCATTACAATGAAAATGTTCGTAAATTTTTATCCCAAATTTACTTGCCTACAAACTTACACATCATTGCTTCACTCTGAAAATATGTGTTTGTTTTAGTTTAAAGTATTTAAACAAACTTTATTAGCTACTTATATTGCATTTTGGAAAAAGGTATTGGAGGAAAACTGAAAAGAATATTTTTTTTCGCGTCAGTAGTTTAGTTCACGTGTTCAACACGCAGTCGCTTTTTGAATGGGAACGAAACTAACCTCAAATAGCACAGATGATTGTTCGGTTAAAATTCTAACCGGATATCATCTGAATGCAAATCAGGTATCTTAGCTGTCATATCGTAGATCTAGCTACAATTTTTGGACACTATCCATCATCTGTTGATCCTCATAACACGACGTTTCGGGGACTGGATCTGTCTCCGTCATCAAGTAAAGTAAGGGTACAAAAGGAAAAGAGCTCCTACTCCCTGGGATCCATTAGAAGGAGCTAGTCTCCATCATTGGGCACATAATGAATCCCAAGCCGGGTATGTATACTCCCTGTGTCGCGTTTAATCTGTGAGAAACTTCAACACCTAAAAGCTCAATAAATATTCCAAAAAATACGTAGGAGCACATAATAAAGATGCCCTGTTAGTCGTAATTATAATTTTCAAAACTTTAACAAAAAAATTGCAATATTCAATCGTCAATATCTTTATGCCCTGTTAGTCGTAATTATAATTTTTAAAACTTTAGCCAAAAAATTGCAATGTTCAATCGTCAATATCTTGTAGAATGATATGACATATTATGCTTATTTCATATTGTACTGTATATACGTTCTTAAACTCGAAAATTTCAGAGCAAATGCTGAATAAGTTTGTATCATGCGATATTTTAGTCGGAAATTCCAAAGGTTAAGAGATATCTCTAGAGATGTAGGGGCAGGAGGAGAGATGGTTTGAAAATAGATCGATTAAAATAGAGTTTCAGGATATTGAATGGATTTATTTGGATCAGGATAAGGTCCAGATTTTAAGGACTGT